CTCCGCGCGATCGTTCTCAATCTGTCGGACGGATTCGCAAATAAAAGTTCGCCGAATCCAAGACACCCCGTATAGGGGCGCCGATCATCCCGCGGCCACTTTTTGCCCTAATCGTAACATTATCTACGGGCCATAGCGCGCTTTTTGCAGATCGCATTTCGCATCTCTCCGCCGTTGGGTGAGAAATTCGTACACTTTCGGGCAATTTCCTCACCGCCATAAATCAACGTCGACGTCGTCGAGTTTATCGCGTGTACGTTGAGCGTTGTCGATGTCGAACATTCTTCGCACCTTTTTCGCCATGGTTTCATTATAGCGAAAAAATATAAATCAATAAGATTTACAGGCGAAGTCGTTGCATGTTACATCGGCCGACGCGTCATTGATATCCCAATATTTCGGGATTGACGTTACGGCAAGCTTGTCCGGACGTTGGTAGAATCTCCAAAAGCGTTTTGAACAGATTTTTCGTGGCGAACGCGGCAATAGATTTTCACGCCAGTCGTGCGTCTTTATTAGCGCGTGTCGTCAAACATTTTGCAATTAGAACATCGGAAATGATATAATCTGAAAAATCTATCTCATAGAAGAACTGATTACGTGATATGTATGAGAATACATAAACATCTAAGAGTTTCATTAGTTTTTAAATATTTTCGTTATCGAGTTTCAGTAATCTAACTATCAACGGGACATTAATACACATTTTGTATTATATCAAAAAGAAAAAATTAATCACGTGCGATGCTGTCGCTGTAATGAGAAAGTTTGCGTAAAATCTGAAACTGGAATTATGGAATTATGAAATTTTCCAAAAGACCATTTCACACTCTCTTGTGTTTTAAACCGTACTCTTCGTCGCTACATAAATAGAATATTATAGTTCTTTTTTTTTCATATAAATTCTTTTCAGTTTTACTATAATTCTAATGCGAGAATAGACTGACAGTAGTCTATTTTGCTAGAGAACATAGTAAATTTCGCTAAAGAAGCATGACAATATATTAAATGGCACATTTTAGTTTTAAAAATATAAGTACACTGAGAGAAGAAATATCCAAATAATAAAATATATTTATGTTCGACATGGGTAACATATTTGCTTCAATCTAAATTCTTTTATTTGGAAAATAAACAGTTGCATTCATTGCATTCATAAAAAGCTAAGATTTTAAGAAAATATATATTTTCTTATTTAAAAAAATGTTACAAAAAATATTATTAAATGTATATTTAATAAAATGTTTTATATTTGTATAAGTAAATATGTTATTATATACAGTATCTACTAAATAAATATTCTTTTTATTTCTTAGATATTTTTTTCTTTCACATATAAATGAAAGGATAGTAAATTATTGCAAGATGTCGGTCTACTCCTCGATTACAAAATTCTGTAGAATTGTTTTCTTTAAATATAAATTCTTTTCACTTTTACGTTTCTAGTTGTGCAAAAGTAGACTGTCGATAAGGAACGTAATAAATTTCCCTAGAAATATAGCACTTTCTTCAATAGCATTTTTCCATAGTTCCTAAAATATAAGTAACACATATGAAATGAGAGGATAATCGATTACTGTAGGATCTATTCAGTTCCGGACAAAATTCTCTAGTAATTTCTCTCTATAAAATGCTGGCCGCGCAACGTCCATAGTATTCTCAGCGCTTCAATTAAACGCTAAAGGGATAAAAATCGCTGACGAGAAGGTGTTTGTTTCATACTTCGCCGTCCCGATTCATTCTAGGCGTATAATCGCGTCGACGTTTCAGCCTGGGCGAGGGAGTGCGCGAGGTCGCTTTTAAACAGAAACAAAAGCTACTTCATCGGGTCGGGTAAACGTTCCCGGCGTAATGCCCGGCCAAACCATTGTGCCGATAGAGTTTTTTCGAGACGGGAAACGATGTTTTCTTTCCGCTCGCGAGCCTGCATTAACCTCGCCTACCGGCACTCTCCTTAGAGAAGAGCGGGATCGATAAGCGTGAAGCCTGGCACATATGTTCTAACTAAATTCGGAGATACGTGCGCCCGATGTTGCTTCTCATGCGTATACATGTAGACACCGAGTTCCCGGCAACAATGGCAGCGCCGCGTTGCTGCGCGGACCGTGATGTTTAAATGCAGGCGTTTTGCATCGCGGATATTCGCATTTATAGATATCAGCCCGGGCTGGTAGTCGACGTTTCAACGGGGCTGAATATTGTAACTGTAGAAAATGGAACGAAAAAGCTCGTCGCGAATGTACACGCGTACCAGCGTCGCTTCTCTTCCTCTCTCTCTTTCTCTCGCTCTCTTTTTCTCTCTCCCTCGTCGACTCGGATAAATAGACCGTCGCGCGGTGGCGTCACCGGCCAAATGTTTTCGAAAACGTCGCTTTTTACACGACGAATAAAGTCGCGGATTTCGTTTCCGCGGAAGGCACTCGCGTGCAGAAATGGAGGGTCATCCATACACGCGCGACTAACCATTAAAGAGGCGTGCACGTTCACGCGCTCCTGTCCGTGTGTGCGTGCTCAGTGGAGGGTTGGTATAGTACGATGCGATCGAGTATCGTACGAGGCGATGACTCAGCTCAGCCAACCCCCGTAAGACAGGGGACCATTATGCCAGGTACCCTTTTCAGCGCTGCGAACGAAAGCAGCGCCCATAAAAGCAGCGTAACGCCGATTGCCGTGATATATTTTTATCGAACATGAGGAGTTACGAAAGATCGGTCGTGCGATATTAATTCTCCCGCTTTTGATTGATCGAGATATTCCCCCTTGAGGTAACTTATAGCGCCTGTATATGCTATTTTTGTTTTGCTTTCTTTAAAATTGATTCGAGATAGATTAGGATTGTAGCAATATATCTCCGACTAGTCTCTTGCGAAGTAAGAGTGTAATTACTCGTGTGCGAATTTTCGAGGATTTTTCATAACTATAAACATGGCATAAAAGATCATATACAATTATTTTATGTATAAAACTTGATTTTTGTCCAAATTACCTTGTCGAGTGTCTTCGAATTCTTTTCTCTTTGAACGACTTTTATGATTTTAGCCGCGTGTAAATATAAATTCCGCGTATTCTGTCGTGTAAATTCCCTGTATTCTATATTTCTTTCTGTTTCGAGATTAATCCGATAGAAACTAGGATTGCAACGTTGTATTCTACTAGTAAAAAGTACGGTCTCTTGTGAAGTTTACACAATGAATTACTTGTATGAATTTTCTAGGATTTTCCCCAAGTATATAGATAGCATAAAAATATCATACAACTACAATTACAATTACAAATACAATTACAATTTTTATACCTACAAATACAATTACTAAAAATACAGTTTTTATATCTGCAACTTTATCTTTGTCAAAATTATTTATATGAGTGTCTTCGAATTCTCTTTATTTTAAACGACTTTTACAATTTTGGCCATGTATAAACATAAATTCCGTATATTCTATTTTCTTTTTACAAGAATGAATTCGATAGATTAAATTTGCAATGATATATTTTCTACTAGCAAAGAGTACAGTCTTGTGAAATTTATATATCGAATTATTCGTGTGAATTTTCTACGATCTTCCCCAGCTTTAAACGGCACAAAAAGAATGTATACAATTGTTATACATATAATTTTATTTTTGTCAAAGTCATCTGTTCGAGTATCACCGGACTTTACTACGTTTTACCTGAAACAACTTTTGCGATTTAAGCCGCGTGTAAACGTAAATTCCGCGATAGGTTCCATCGTGGCGCCTTTATTTGTTTCAAGCAACGTTTATTTAGACTATCTTATTCGACGATCGCCGACTGGGGTTCGCATGATCCGCAAAATCCGTTCGGCCAGAATCCAATTTCGATGCGAATTCGGGTGAATGGGGCATCGGAGATTAAGGGCGGTTCGCAGAAATGGATGGTGCACATGCTGCTAGGACGGTAGGTAGGCTAATAAGAGGGAGCAAAGACGCCCTCGCGTCGTTCGGCAAGGTCTCGGCAAGGGGAGATACGGCCCCTCGTGCACCGAGATGGGGTGACGTCATAGGGGTGGTTCGCGGCACAAGAGGGGTGGGGTGTGTGTAATTTCCCCGTGGACGATGGCGTCAGGGCGTGCGGTGCCGATCGGCCCGAGGGTCGTTCAACCATCAGTGTTGTCTCGTGTCTCGTGCAGCGTGTCGTAGTTCTGTTCTCTCGTGCTCGTGAACGTGCTGTACTTGTGGTCGTTTAGTTTAGGGATATCTAGTCTTTAGGTGAAGCGACCGGTGTCACCACGGTGTCACCTGCGTGTGCGTCGGCGAGTGATATACGCGCAAGCATCATCGTGCGAGATAAACACGTGCGGCGATAAACTGGGTCTCGGGAACTGGAACGGTTACGTAGACGAAATTAAGAATTAAAGGGGAAGGACTCGTGGTTGGCAGTCCCGCTGCAAGTCCTCGGTCTCGGGTACTGAAGCCCGCGAGAAGGATCGTCGCGTTTCAACCGATTCCGTTGGACTTTGCCGTGTGAGAGCTTGCGGAACATCTCGCCGTGACGCTTGAACCGACGCTTGTTGCTGTTGTGTGAGTGTGGTATCGTGTTCGGCGTGTCTGTGTGGTCGTTAGCGTTCTTCGTTGCCGGATACATTGCGCGAAGGTCCGAGAGAGTCGCGCAAGACAAAACCATTGCCGCGCTGTACGCCGGCTGATATTGACATGTTCCTCTCTCTCTCTCTCTCTCTCTCTCTCTCTCTCTCTCT